GAAGGGGGGGGGGGGGACAAACCGCGATCCGGCGAAAATTTGCTAATTACGCTTTTTCTTTCATTTATATATCAAAAGAGGAGTGCACAATATCGAATACGTTCTACGAATACATATATGTCTTCGACATGATGCTGCAAAATGTAAACGTGATACTCGATGAATGACATTATCATACATTTATGAGAGAAACAAGTGCATTATGCGTGTTTATGCTCGTTAAAGAGAAATATAAAATTCATCAGCTGCCTACTCCGAGTTGGTTTCTTTCGCTTTCTTTCCCTTCCTCATCTTCCTTCTCCTCCTCTTTTTTTCTTTTCTAGTATCGATACAATCATAAATGATATCCGCGACTCGTACGAATATGTCCTACATATATACAATAGCGCGGTTATAGCTTTCTCGCATGCCGAAGTCGACCGTCCGATTCCTTATGCTTTTCGCAAAATTCAATCCCTGTATCTCGTGTATGCCGTCACAAATCCTTTTTTTTCCACAATTCATTTTTTACTAGTTTCTTACGCCATAGTCAGAATGAATTTCTACCTAAACGAAATAAAATATGTTTCTCCCTCGCACAGATCACCCGCAATTCGCGCGGCAACCATCCTTTCAATTATCATCCCTATGAATTATCACTTCTGAGTGCCTTGTACAAATCAGCACGTAAACGAACAAGCTAGCGATGTAAATAGAAAGCATTTTACCCATGGTAAAACGCGTACGATCGGTCTAAGACAAGCTCGTCGAATCCGCGTACTGCATTCAGTTAATCACTTTAAATATACCAATCGCATTGTTTAATACGCACGCGATGCACATCATCCTATATAAAATATGTTCCCACACTCTCACATTTCTATCGCGTAAGTGTAAAAAATTTTCCATACTGTTTACACTGTTCTTTTTTTTTCTTCTTTTTTTTCGTTCTCTTTGTCTTACTTTAAGTCTCCTGGCTGCTCGTTAGAACGTAAAATTCACTAGATACATCGTCAGCGGGAGATGTACTCCTTTCATGGACCGATATTCACTGGCCTTGACGACGATGATAACGACGATGACGATCCGCGGGGTTAAAACACATAATCCGGACCGGCCATGTCTATTGCCCATCGGAACTTATCCCTCTGAGTCTTGTTATA